CACCTCTGCAGGAGTCTACCGTATACCATGCAGCTGTGGACAAGTCTACATAGGGACCACCAAACGCAGCGCCCACAAGAATCCAGGAACATGAAAGGCACTGCAGACTACTTCAACCAGAGAAGTCAGCCATAGCAGAGCACCTGATGAACCAACCTGGACACAGCATTTTATTTGAGAACACAAAAATGCTGGACCACTCTCACAACCACCATGTCAGACTACACAGAGAAGCCATTGAAATCCACAAACATGTGGACAATTTCAACAGAAAGGAAGAAACCATGAAAATGAACAAAATCTGGCTACCAGTATTAAAAAATTCTAAAATTAAAACAGCAGAGAGAAAAACAGGCAGGGACATCTAATCACCTTTCAAGAAGAGTTTGCTCCAGGCACTGTCAGCCCATTGTATGCTAATCAAGGTGGTCAGTTGAAAAGATTCACACCTAGCCCAACTTACAAAAGCCTTTTGTCTCACCCTGGTCATTCCACAGATATATAAACCCCTTTTCCCGCAGACCTCACCTCTGAGGAAGCTTGCCATAGATGCAGGCGAAACGTCAGGAGAAATGCCTCTAGAACATGGCCATATAGCCCGAAAAAACCCACAAGAACTGAGATATAATATCTTGATCACACATTTCCATGATTTTTTGTATGGAGACCCTCAGCGAATGTATCATAAGATATTCTCACCTCATGCCTTCTTCTGAGACTGAGAGAGTATTCTATGCTAAACAAAGAGTTTGGATCCCGGTTCTTAGAGTTGCAGTCCAACACTCAAAGCACAACACTGCGCTGGATGTAATATTTGCAATACAATACAATAAGCCTTTATTGGCATAACATGGCAGAGAGTATAAAACATAGTACACGTAATAAAAAAGGGCTTCTCGTTTGCTACACATTCAGTTTGCAGACTTCATTCAGGAATCTTGCCACTGAAAGGCAGCAGCTAAAGTCCTGGCAATTTAAAAGCAAAATCACTTTGTCAGAATCGCTGCAGTTCTTCAGTGAATCTATAGCTTGTGTTAGCAGGCTGGATCTTAGCTCCTGGTAGAGTGGACAGTGTAGGAGAATATGCGGTATGGACTCTAGCTATCCTGTGCTGCAGAGGCAAACCCTCTTGTCGCTCGGGAGGCCATTGAGTCTTCCTCTATGGAGCGGCGATGGCATGATGTTCAATCTAGCCAGCATGTAGGCTCTTCTGTAAGAGGGGTTGGTGAGCTCTGTGATGTAAAAGGCTGGATTTCCCTGTGTGTATGGAATTGCCAAGTTAATAGGTGAGCAGGATTTGTTTGCCAAGCTCAACAATTGGTTGTGGTCCCTTTCTAGCAGCCTCCTTTTGATGAGGGTAAAAATCTCGGAAAAAGATAGTAAAGATAGTAAAGTCAGGAAATCGCTGTCGTAGCCCAATTCCCCGATCTTTGCTAGGACAGTTGAGCACCATTTGGAGTGGTGGAGTTCGCTCAAGGTGAGTTGAGTCAGAGAATATAATATTTATTTATTTATCGTGTCATCTGCAACCAGAACATTGTATTACATTGCTAACAGAACAAAACAAACAAACAGATAAAAAAAACACACACACAAATTTTGCAAACTTGGTGGCTGATTAAATGTCCTTTGACCAGTATCTGGCCCCTTGGAGTGCCTCTGGTGTTGCCGCAAGAAGGTCCTCTGTTGTGCATGTGGCAGGGCTCAGGGTGCATTGCAGCAGGTGGTCTGTGGTTTGCTCTTCTCCACACTTGCATGTCGTGGATTCCACTTTGTGGCCCCATTTCTTATGGTTGGCTCTGCATCTCGTGGTGCCAGAGCGCAGTCTGTTCAGCACCTTCCAAGTCACCCAGTCTTCTGTGTGTCCAGGGGGGAGTCTTTCATCTGGTATCACCCACGGATTGAGGTTCTGGGTTTGAGCCTGCCACTTTTGAACTCTCGCTTGCTGAGGTGTTCCAGCGAGTGTCTCTGTAGATCTAAGAAAACTATTTCTTGATTTAAGTCGTTGACGTGCTGGCTGATACCCAAAAAAGGGATGAGCTGGAGATGTCTCTGCCTTGGTCCTTTCACTATTGGCTGCTTCTTCCCGGCGGATGTCAGGTGGTGCAATACCGGCTAGACAGTGTAACTTCTCCAGTGGTGTAGGGCGCAGACACCCTGTGATAATGCGGCATGTCTCATTCAGAGCCACATCCACTGTTTTAGCGTGGTGAGATGTGTTCCACACTGGGCATGCGTACTCAGCAGCAGAGTAGCACAGCGCAAGGGCAGATGTCTTCACTGTGTCTGGTCGTGATCCCCAGGTTGTGCCAGTCAGCTTTCGTATGATATTGTTTCTAGCACCAACTTTTTGCTTGATGTTCAGACAGTGCTTCTTGTAGGTCAGAGCACGGTCCAGAGTGACTCCCAGGTATTTGGGTGCGCTGCAATGCTCCAGTGGGATTCCTTCCCAGGTAATAATCCTCAGAGCTCGGGATGCTTGTCTGTTCTTAAGGTGAAAGGCACATGTCTGTGTTTTAGATGGGTTAGGGATCAGTTGGTTTTCCCTGGATGTAATAATAATAATAATAATAATAATAATAATAATAATAATAATAATAATATTTATACCCCGCCACAATCTCCCCCAAGGGACTCGGAGCGGCTTACATGAGGCCAAGCCCGAAAACACATCAATAAAACAAAAAGCAATACAGTTAATATAACTCCACACATTTCAGAGGGTGTTTCTCAGGCAACGAAGACTCAGAGAAGAAATAGAGTCTCCAGCACCTGGATTCATTGGAGGTCTCCTATCCAAATCCTAATTAAGGCTAGTTCTTATGTCTAATAGGTGATTTCCACTCTCATCATAGATAGTTCTTATGATCTATCTATGATGAGAGTGGAAATCACCTATTAGACAGATGTTAAGCTGTTTAAATTCACTAGACTGAAAGCTAAAGCCAAGGTCACAACAACATCTTTTATAGAACTCCAGTATGCTGATGATAATGTAGTCTCTGTTCATTTAGAATAAGACCTAGAATCCACTTTAAACACCAAGCAGCTTGTACTCGTTTGCCTGGAATATCTTGTAGTTCTTATGTTCATGGTCTTGGGATTTTGTCATGTTCTCATGGGACTTTGTTTCGTTGGTGCCTCTTGCAGTCCTGCTTTACAGTGCTTTGTTTTATTGATCTTTGGAACATTACTTGCTTTTATAAACTTTTTATCTTTTACTTTTTAATAAACTACAAAGACTTCAGTCTGTGCGCAGTTTTGGTGATTTCAGCAAGGTGAATCTATTCCTTAGGTGTGACAGCCTTCAAGATATATTTTGATACATTTATATTTAGAAACAGTTTATACATTTCATACAAGTAACTGATGCAGTGCACAGTATGTAAAAGAGATAAGTTACACAAAATCTTCAAATGGATACAATTTATTAAAGAGTTTAATATTGATAGGTTGTTGTAGGTTTTTCCGGGCTATATGGCCATGGTCTAGAGGCATTCTCTCCTGACGTTTTGCCTGCATCTATGGCAAGGATCCTAAGAGGTAGTGAGGTCTGTTGGAACTAGGAAAAAGGGTTTATATATCTGTGGAATGACCAGAGTGGGACAAAGGACTCTTGTCTGCTGGAGCTAGGTGTGAATGTTTCAACTGACCACCTTGATTAGCATTTGATGGCCTGGCATTTGTTTGGTGTGGCTTGTTAGTGCCTGGTGGTATCTGGAGCAAACTTTTGTTGAGAGGTGATTAGATGTCCTTGTTTGTTTCCTCTCTGTTTTTGTGCTGTTGCAATTTTAGAGTTTTTTAATACTGTTAGCCAGATTTTGTTCATTTTCATGGTTTCGTCCTTTCTGTTGACATTGTCCACATGCTTGGGTATTTCAATGGCTTCTCTGTGTAGCCTGACATGGTGGTTGTGAGAGCACCAGCATTTCTGTGTTCTCAAATAAAATGCTGTGTCCAGGCTGGTTCATCAGGTGCTCTGCTATGGCTGATTTCTCTGGTTGAAGTAGTCTGCAATGCCTTTCATGTTGCTTGATTCGTGTCTGGGCAATGCTGCTGCATTTGGTGGTCCCTATGGAGACTTCTTGTCCACAGCTGCATGGTACACGGTAGACTCCTGCAGAGGTGAGAGGATCCCTCTTGTCCTTTGCTGAACGGAGCATTGGTTGGATTTTCTTGGTGGGTCTGTAGATAGTTTGTATGTTGTGTTTCCTCATCAGCTTCCCTCTGCGGACAGTGGTTCCCTTGATGTCTGGCAAGAACACTTTTCCTCTGGGTGGATCAAACAAGGACATCTAATCACCTCTCCACAAAAGTTTGCTCCAGGCACTGTCTGGCCATTATATGCTAATCAAGGTGGTCAGTTGAAACATTCACACCTAGCTCCAGCAGACAAGAGTCCTTATTCTCACCCTGGTCATTCCACAGATATATAAACCCTTTTGTCTAGTTCCAACAGACCTCACTACCTCTGAGGATGCTTGCCATAGATGCAGGCGAAATGTCAGGAGAGAATGCCTCTAGACCATGGCCATATAGCCCGAAAAAACCTACAACAACCCAGTGATTCCAGCCATGCCTTCGACAATACATTAAAATTGATAGTGTGTAGGGTACAGCTGCTGCTAGGTCCGCTCCAGAATTTCTAAGACATCAGAATTGCACAACTCCAGACCACCAAGAAAGGTTTTTAATAAAAAGAAAAAAAAACATATATTTGCTTTTAGTCTCTTAATGAACTATACATCATTTGGGGGGGGGGGATCTTGGCTTGATAACACTTCTCCAAGTGAAGACCTTTCCATTTCAATAGACCTTTGAGTCCTGGATTTTGGACTTCCCATCTTTATCGTGCTGTTATCCTTCTTATGGCTTATGTTTATAAACTGATTTAAAACTTTTGGTAGCTCCCAAGAGCATTGATGTCTGCTGCATGGTGTGCATTGGACATGATAGATCTCCTAGCCCTTGAGTCACAAGCTGTTCATTTTCCCTTGCAGATGGTGCTTTGTCGGCGAGTAGCAGGGAGTTTGGTGCTGGCCGTGGCCTTGGTGCAGTGGCGATCTGGCAACGCCTTCCAGGCTCAGAGAGAGGTAAGCCCTTGCATGGCTTCATTTCCAAAATTGCCCTTGGGTGGCTTTTCCCTGCAAGAGGAAGCCTTCCTTGTTGGAGAGCTCAGTTTGCCATACTGTTTTGCCCCATTTGCAATGCACAGCAAGGTAGTTTCAAAGCCATATTGACAATAAGACAGATACGTTTGCAAGAGCTGAGGCAAAGGGGAAAAGTACCAGTGGATGCCAGATAAGTGTAGTTTCTGGTTCCTTGAGAGTTTACATGAAAAATATCCCTCACGAGTTCATTAGACACTATACTGTACCATATCATGAACTCTGTGTTGCTTTGATATTATTATTATTATTATTAGTAGTAGTAGTAGTAGTAGTAGTAAAGGTAAAGGTAGTCCCCTGACATTAAGTCCAATCATGTCTGACTCTGGGGTGTGGTGCTCATTTCCATTTCTAAGCCGAAGAGCCAGCGTTGTCCGTAGACACCTCCAAGGTCATGTGGCCGGCATGACTGCATGGAGCGCCGTTACCTTCCCGCCGGAGCGGTACCTATTGATCTACTCACATTTGCATGTTTTCGAACTGCTAGGTTGGCAGAAGCTAGGGCTGACAGCGGAAGCTCACGCCGCTCCCCGGAATCGAACCTGCGACCTTTCGCTCAACAAGCTCAGCAGCTCAGTGCTTTAACCCACTGCACCACCGGGGGCACCAGAAGTAGTAGTAGTATTGAAATGCCATCATTGAAAGCCAATAATGATCAAGGGTCTGGAGAACAAGCCCTATGAGGAGCGGCTTAAGGAGCTGGGCATGTTTAGCCTGAAGAAGAGAAGGCTGAGAGGAGATATGATAGCCATGTATAAATATATGAGAGGAAGCCACAGAGAGGAGGAGGGAGCAAGCTTGTTTTCTGCTTCCCTGGAGACTAGGACGCAAGGGAACAATGGCTTCAAACTACAAGAGAGGAGATTCCACCTGAACATGAGGAAGAACTTCCTGACTGTGAGAACCGTTCAGCAGTGGAACTCTCTGCCCCAGAGTGTGGTGGAGGCTCCTTCTTTGGAAGCTTTTAAACAGAGGCTGGATGGCCATCTGTCAGGGGTGATTTGAATGCAATATTCCTGCTTCTTGGCAGGATGGGGTTGGACTGGATGGCCCATGAGGTCTCTTCCAACTCTTTATTTCTATGATTCTATGACTATTATTCTATGATTCTAAGAAGGCTCAAAGCTCTCCCATCCTGTTTCTTCTCCTTTTCCAGCCACGTTTGGACTCTTCCTTGCCTCTGGGACCCGGTCATTCTTCTCCCTCTGATGAAGATAAATCAGCCGCTGACCTGGCCGCCAAGCTCCTGCTCTTGGATGAACTGGTGTCCCTCGAAAATGATGTCATTGAGACCAAGAAGAAGAGGAGCTTCTCAGGGTTCGGTTCCCCTCTTGACCGGCTATCCATGGGGTCAATGGACCTGAAGACGAAGCAGAAGTGAGTGATGGAGAATACTTTGTCTGGGGTCTTTCAGAGGCATCTGGGTTGCTTCATTTCTTCTGCTGACACAGGCTTGAGACATTGAAAGTTGGAACCAGATGGGGCCACCATAGATGCACAAGGTCCCCATTTGGACATCAAACCTATCAGTCTCACAGCATATTGCTCATTATTTCAGCAAGAAGATTGGCATCATATTCTTGCAATGAAGTTAGTCAAATATAGGCTCGACAATACACTTATTTGGTGGCTGGGGAACTGGTTGATGGACCGAACCAATAATAATAATAATAATAATAATAATAATAATAATAATAATACTTTATTTGTTGTTGTTGTTCATTCGTTCAGTCGTCTCCGACTCTTTGTGACCTCATAGACCAGCCCACGCCAGAGCTCCCTGTCGGCCGTCACCACCCCCAGCTCCTTCAAGGTCAGTCCAGTCACTTCAAGGATGCCATCCATCCATCTTGCCCTTGGTCGGCCCCTCTTCCTTTTGCCTTCCACTTTCCCCAGCATCATTGACTTCTCTAGGCTTTGTACCCCGCTACCATCTCCCAAGGGACTCGGTGCAGCTTACACGAGGCCGAGCCCACAATACAACAATAAACAATAACAACAATAATACAAAACAATAAAACTCATAAGCAAAAATAAGCCAAACATTAACAATAACACATTGCGTTTAAAAACCTATGGCTGGGTCAAATGTAATACTTTAAAAAAATTAAAATAATGCTGGGCATGACATGTAACTGGGATAAAAATTTTGGAGAGGGAAGAAATGTGCAGACAATCTTAAATCATTAATTAAGTGCATTTAGGGACATATTGCTGGGAGTTTCCTTAATTAGGGAAGGCACACTGAAACAACCACATTTTCAGGCTCCTCCTAAAGACTGCCAGAGTTGGGGCTTGCCTAATGTCCTTGGGGAGTGAGTTCCAGAGTCGAGGGGCCACCACCGAGAAGGCTCTCTCCCTCATCCCCACCAATCGCGCTTGCGATGGTGGTGGGAGTGTGAGCAGGGCCTCTTCAGATGATCGAAGAGATCATGTGGGTTCATACACAGAGATGCGGTCACGCAGGTAGGTGGGTCCCAAACTGTTTAGGGCTTTGTAGGTAAGAACCTGCACCTTGAATTGGGACCGGAAAATGAATGGCAGCCAATGGAGCTCCTTAAACAGGAGGGATGACCGCCCCCTGTAAGGAGCTCCAGTTCGCTGACCGCCGCTCGTTGAACCAGTTGAAATTTCCAGGCTGTTTTCAAGGGTAGCCCCACGTAGAGTGCATTACAGTAGTCCAATCTGGAAGTGACTAAGGCATGGACCACCCTGGCCAGATCCGCCTTCACGAGGTACAGTCGCAGTTGGCGCACGAGTCTTAATGAGTCTTAATCCAAAGGATGTTCTGTCCTTCTTCTGAAGAGAAGTAGCCTGTTGGCAGTCACAAAGAGGGTTCAGTCCTGGAGCCTTTGGGGGCTATTCAACCAATAGAACAGAAGACAAGCTTATCAAATGTGTGTTGTTGTTCATTCGTTCAGTCGTCTCCGACTCTTCGTAACCTCATGGACCAGCCCACGCCAGAGCTCCCTGTCGGCCGTCACCAAACCAAGCTCCTTCAAGGTCAGTCCAGTCCCTTCAAGGATGCCATCCATCCATCTTGCCCTTGGTAGGCCCCTCTTCCTTTTACCTTCCACTTTCCCCAGCATCATTGTCTTCTCTAGGCTTTGCTGTCTCAAATGTGTAGATGCCACCAAATTAGGAAGGAGGGCTAATATCCCAGAGCTCAGGATCAGGATCCAAAATGGCTTTCACGGGTTGGAGAGATAATTGGACAAAACTAACCACATGCATTTCAAGAGGGAGAACTGCAAGGTACGCCAATCTATATAAATAAAAATGTAACGTTCGTTTGTGGGATTAACAGAACTCAAAAGCCACTGGATGAATTGACACCAAATTTGGACACAAGACACTTAACAACCCAATATATGTCCTTCACTAAAAAAAAAATTGATTTTGTCATTTGGGAGTTGTAGGTTCTGGGATTTATAGTTCACCGACAATCAAAGAGCATTCTCAACTCCATCAATTGAACCAAATGTGGCACACAGGACTCCCATAAACAACAGAAAACACTAGAAGGCTTTGGTGGCGTTGACCTTGAGTTTGGGAGTTGTAGTTCATCTACATCCAAAGAGCACTGTAGACTCGAACAATGATGGATCTGGACCAAACTTGGCATGAATACTCAATATGCCCAAATGTGAAAATTTTGGGGAAAATAGAATCTTGACATTTGGGAGTTGTAGTTGCTGGGATTTATAGTTCACCTACAATCACAGAGCATTCTGAACCCCACCAACAATAGAATTGGGCCAAACCTCCCACACAGAACCCCCATATGGGCCACAGCAAGGCGTGGCAGGGGACGGCTAGTAAATAAATAAATAAATAAATAAATAAATAAAATACTGCACTTCCGCTTTGGTTTGACCACACCTGGAATATTGTGTCCAATTCTGGGCACCACAATTCAAGAGAGATGTTGACAAGCTGGAATGTGTCCAGAGGAGGGCGACTCAAATGATCAAGGGTCTGGAGAACAAGCCCTATGAGGAGCAGCTTAAGGAGCTGGGCATGTTTAGCCTGAAGAAGAGAAGGCTGAGAGGAGACATGATTAGGGCCATGGATCAATATGTGAGAGGAAGCCACAGGGAGGAGGGAGCAAGCTTGTTTTCTGCTTCCTTGGAGACGAAGACGCAATGGAGCAATGGCTTCAAACGACAAGAGAGGAGATTCCATCTGAACATGAGGAAGAACTTCCTGACTGTGAGAGCCGTTCAGCAGTGGAACTCTCTGCCCCAGAGTGTGGTGGAGGCTCCTTCTTTGGAAGCTTTTAAACAGAGGCTGGATGGCCATCTGTCAGGGGTGATTTGAATGCAATATTCCTGCTTCTTGGCAGAAAGGGGTTGGACTGGATGGTGGCCCAGGAGGTGTATTCCAACTCTAGGATTCTATGATTCCAGCACATTTTTCCCAGGCCTTGCCAATCCTGCTGGCTTTACTATAAAATTGCTTGGATTTTGGTTTTCAAACCGAGGCTGGACAGCCATCTCTCCAGAGTGCTTAATTGTATGTTCTTTCATGGCAGAATGGGGCTTGAATTGATAGAGTTGGGGGAGGGGGGGGGGCTCTTCCATCTCTATGGAAATGGCATCATTGGAAAGGACTACATTACTGAAAAGTTGGGCAGGGGAATTGTTTCAGCCAGTAAAGAACTCTTACCTCTGCAAAGCTAATGGCAATAACAGAAGTCTAAGTTATGAATTATCTATGTATAAATATGTGAGAGGAAGCCACAGGGAGGAGGGAGCAAGCTTGTTTTCTGCTTCCTTGGAGACTAGGACACAATGGAACAATGGCTTCAAACTACAAGAGAGGAGATTCCATCTGAACATGAGGAAGAACTTCCTGACTGTGAGAGCCGTTCAGCAGTGGAACTCTCTGCCCCGGAATGTGGTGGCGGCTCCTTCTTTGGAAGCTTTTGAAGAGAGGCTGGATGGCCATCTGTCAGGGGTGATTTGAATGCAATATTCCTGCTTCTTGGCAGAATGGGGTTGGACTGGATGGCCCAGGAGGTCTCTTCCAACTCTAGGATTCTATGATTCTATCCAGATTTAATGAAAGGATGCCAGGGCATTCAATGGTACCTTGCTGTATCTCCGGATGGCCACATGAGGGCAGCCCTCTCCTGCAAAAAATAAATTAAATACTGAATTTTTCTGTGTAATGATTCTGAGCTCTGAGTGCATCCTCTGCACTGTAGAATGAATGCAGTTTGGCGCCCCTTTAACTGCCATGGCTCAATGCTAGGAGTTCCTGGGAGTTACCTTGGGAAGTCTGATCTGGCCATGGTTGTCCACGCTCTGGTTAAATCCCGAATAGATTACTGCAACGTGCTCTATGTGGGGCTGCCTTTGAAGACGGTTCGGAAACTTCAGCTAGTCCAACGAGCGGCAGCCAGATTACTAACTGGGGCGACATACAGGGAGCATACCACCCCCCTGTTATGCCAGCTCCACTGGCTGCCAGTCCATCTCCGAGCCCAATTCAAAGTGCTGGTTTTGTCCTATAAAGCTCTATACGGTTCTGGCCCAGCTTACTTGTCCGAACGCATCCACTCCTACGTCCCATCTTGTAATCTAAGATCATCCGAAGAGGCCCTGCTCTCGCTCTCGTCAATTGCACAAATGCGTCTGGCGGGGACGAGAGATAAGGCCTTCTCGGTGGTGGCCCCTCGCCTATGGAACACACTCCCAAATGAAATAAGTTCTGCTCCCTCCCTCCTGGCTTTTAGAAAGAAATTAAAACCATGGCTTTGGGACCAGGTCTTCGGACAGTAGATGTTTGTAGAGTTTAAAGGACATGGACTAGAATGACAATACGACTGGCGAGACTGTTTTTATTATTTATTGTTTTAATGATTGCTTATGTACTGTCTAATTATTATTTATGCTTCAGTTTTGCCAGTTATGTGTAAACCACTTTGAGTCCTCCTAGGGGTAAGAAAAGCGGTATAGAAATACTGTATAAATAAATAATAGTTTCACAAGGGCTTGAGCTTTATCTGCCAAAGAGTCCTGATGTTTCACACAAACTACAACTCCCAGGATTTGACAGCATTGAGCCACAGCAGTCAAAGTAGTGTCGAACACCATTCATTCTACAGTGCTGATTATTTAATTATGTGGTGCTTACTTTGGAAGTAGTTGTACTCCAGACACTTCATTTTTGTATCTGCTACAAACTATGTTGAATTGGGTTGTTGTAGGTTTTTCCGGGCTATATGGCCATGCTCTGGAGACCATTTTTCTCCTTTTCTCCAATGTTGAATTGGATGAGACTCTGAGATACTATTGAAAAACTAGAGTAAAATGTGTAGCAGGATGTCCCACATATGCAGAACAATGGCTTCAAACTACAGGAAAGGAGAT